AAGAGCTGAGAGTGAAGAATGTGATGAATGGAAGGCACGATGTCAAACGGCAGATGGGGAACAGTATGTGGAGGACCAGGCCATGTCACTTGGGCCTTTGATCATGAGACAGAGAGGAGAGTTGCTTGAAGCTTTAGAGTGAGGGAGCAGTGGCTTGCGGGTTAGTTCAGTTGTTTAAGTGCCTGCTCCGGCAAACCCAGTCAGCACAGGGGACTGTGGTTCAATCCCCAACTCCACGTGCATTATCAGACCCACCCTTAAGGCAGCCTGATCCAGCCAAAATAAATAAGTAAATAAATAAATAAAGTGAGGGAGTGGCCTGTATTGACAGGTGACTTTGAAATTACACCAAGGAAAAAAGAACCTTTGGTTGAGTACTTTGCCAGAGGAACAGATAGAAACAATATATGAGCTTCCTCTGAACCCTTCTCACTTCAGCCCCCTGGGTGAAAAACGTGAGTGTATTTTTAGAAAAAGGTTTCATGTAAGTATGAAATTAAAAAAAAAAATGTATTTAGTATAGGTACAGGGTTTCACTATGTAGATTGGACTCGTAGTGATCCTCCTGTTTTAAGCCTCCCAAGCTCTGGGATTACAGAGTGTACCACCACATCCAGTCTCCATTTCCGGCTCAATGCGCCCCAGGGGTGGGGCTGGCATAGTACGCTGGGGATCAGATTCCGGCCACTGTGCTCTGCCTAAGCAGGTGCTGTAGTCCGCTGAGCTATCTGGCCGGCTCTAAATGTGAAATTTTATAGTGGGACACCCAGTGAAAATGTGTGTTGAAGGATTCTCCAATGAATAGTTGGTGAATGAAAGGTGCTTGAAGGAAAATAAAAAAAGGTTTGAAGGGGCAGGCTAGCTAGGTGGATAGCAAACATGCCCATCTGCTGTGCATCTGCCGAGACCCCTTCCAGCTGCCTGGCGTGTGACCTACCCATCTAGTTATTCATTGCTCACATTCTCTGCATGTTTTTTTCTGACAGTTCACATGATTTTAAGGAACAAATCTGTACATTTCTTATTTTCAGGGAAACGTATGTGTGCAGGAGAAGGCCTGGCCCGCATGGAGCTGTTTTTGTTTCTGACCACGATTTTACAGAATTTCAAGTTGAAGCCTCTGGTTGACCCAAAGGACATTGATACCACGCCAATTACGAGTGGGTTTGGCCACGTGCCACCTTCCTACCAGCTCTGCTTCCTTCCTCTCTGAAGAGCAGCAGCGCAGCAACTGTCGCCAGCAGCATCTCCCTCTCGGGAGCATCGCCTACCTTTTCCCACCATCAGAAATTTCTGTGCTAGATTTCCCCTTGCGTCTTGTCATTCCCTCAAGATCTTCCAGTCTTCATTAAGGAGAATTTTCTGAATCACTACAAAAATATATCTTCAGTTCTTACGTTTTGTAACACTTGTGTTGATCACCACAGGTGCCTAATTTCTAATTACCTCATGCCATTGCTAGTACATTCTCATTGTAAAACTGCAAAATAATTTGTATGACAACTAACAGCTACATATTTCCATTATGAATAAAAATCAATGTTAACTGTTGGGCCAGTTCTCAGAGTTTCTTTGTTTTTTGCACACTGTAGGTATTGTAGACAAGGTTTGTGAAGAACAGATTTAATACAGGATATCTAAGTTATATTCACTCAAAAAGACAAATGCAAAGGACTGCAAGAGATCTGTCCACACAGTGTAGGCCCGAAGAATCCAGCCTAAGTCCTGGATCCCCTGGCAGTGTCCTGCATGAGTCCAGCCGAAGACCTGGAGCCCATGGCAATTTTCTCCACAAGTCCAACTGGAGGCCTAGAGCCCATGAGAATGTCTCATGCAAATCTGTATCAAGGACCAGTACTGGGAAGGCCCAAGGTGAGAGGTGGAAGCCAGAAAGTCTGTGTCAGTAGGATGACGGATGTATGCCATGAGGCTAAAAGATCTACATTGGAGCCAGGAGGTGACACTTAATGTAAAGACCAGAGTTTTCCCAAAGAGAACAGAAGCCATTTTCAGTGACTGTGAGGACATGAGCTCCTTTAATTATGAGAACAGCTGAGTTCATATCAGAGAAGCCAGCACAACAAGCTGCTCACCCTTTTCCAACAGCCCACCCCTTTCCCTTCTAGCTCTTTTCTTATGCTGTTGACGACAACTGTTAGGTGGGCCTTCTACACCAGCACCAAGCTGACGCAGCTCAAGCTGACGCAGCTCAGGTGGGTGTTCCAGGTTGACCATTAGTTAATTAACCACACTAGGTAAGGATTGAGACAAATAGTTTTTGCTGGTGTCATGCGTTTCTTTCATTGTTGGGTCAAAATACCTGA